CAGCATTTTCCACAGCTAAGGGAACCTTGGACTCTTAGTACATATGGCCAGTGCCTGACACTATAAAACAGAGAAAGGAACAGAATGGAGGCCTGAGCTTCAAATCCCATTGGGATTTCTATCAGTTTCTCCCAGGACACAGCAGAAAGATGTGGAGCCCTGATTCCAACCTCTTCAGAGGTAACTAAGGAGAAACAGATTTCCTAGGCCTGACACTATGCCCAATGCTGGCTCAGTGAGATGACTTGGTTATTATACCTGGTAAACTTCCTTCCACCCAGAGCACCAACTTCCCAGGTCAGTGCTGTGCACTTCCGAGGGGGTGACTTTTAATCTAAGGTCATAATGATAAAGGCAGACATGGGGCCTCTAGCATATGTGGGTTGGCAGCTGGGATACTGGGAACAAGAGGATGGTGAGGTAAATAAATACTGGACATACTGAATATGGGGGCACATGGAATGAGAGAGGAGATAAGTCATTCTGAGGTCCATGACTGCAGTCACCTTCACAAATAGAATCCCTTATGGAGCCATTTACCTGCAGCTTGAATACTCCTAGGGACAGAGACCTCACTCCTCTGAGAGGCTGCATTTTCCCCTGAAAATCAGCTCAGAGAGTCTGAAATTTCTTTCTTATATTGAGCCTGGATTTGGTCTCTCTTGTCATAAAACTTGGGCCTTTATCTTAATCATAGGACCTCCCATAAAATAAGTGGAGGCAACTAATCCATAGAGTTCCTCAGTCCTCACTTCCCCAGGGTCTATGAAAGCAGCCTCATGGTCACAGAAGATGCTGCCACACTGCCCCATGAGTCTCACCAGAGCCCTGAGATGCTGGCAGAAGATGGTCATCATTTTCATTCAGGAAAATGAGACCGAGAAAGTCAAAGTGATTGACAAAGATCACACCCAACACGAGGAAAGAATCTCGTTTCCATTTCTGAATCCGTGTTTCATCAAAAGGAAATTAATGTCGAGTCCAATTTATCAATTTGACAACCTATGTCCTTCCCATTTACCATTATGCCTAACTTTTAAGAATCTCCCATTGAAGGCCCCCAAACATTATTACTGATCATTAGAAAGTCGTTTATGCCTCATACAACTACATAAAATACTTTTAAAATGGGAAACTACAAGGTGAAGGATAAAAGATATTTTTCAGCCGTAAGAATACAGGGAGGGGTAAGAGGAGAGGGAAGAAGAAAATCACCGAGTATTGCTCATGCAAAAACTGACATGAACCATCCTAAGGTTTAGGTCTGTGTCATTGAAACAGTTGACCTTCATAGTAAATTTCAACCTGGTTCAATGTTGTGGGGCATAAAAGGGTCTGAAATAGGCACTTCAGAGCCTGTGACTGTCCTGCTCCACTTGAGGATCCACTGTGGAGCTAGAATCATGTTAACGGAGCAAAAAGCACTAAATAATGAATACAGTAATGGGGTGCTGAGCACACACCTTCCTCCCCACTCAGGAATGTCCCAAAGAGGCAGGATATCTGTCTAAAGAACAGGACCAGCAGTATCAGCGGGCAGAAAAGAAGACCACCAGTATGTCCCCGTTTCTTCCAGAAGGAAACTGAAGCTACATTAATCTACTCCAAGTGCTGCTAAGTACAGGCAGCGTGGACTCAGGAGCCAGAGGGACCTCGATGATCTACCTAGAACATGCTCCGTTTCTCCGTTGCCTGTTCCAATCCTGCCCATCTTTCAAAGCTTTGCCCAAAGTATACCCTCTTGCCTGAAACCTCCCTGTGTCTCTAGCCATCTAACATTTCCTGTCAGCAAGCATTATGCATTGGATTTCAGGGATCCTGACACAAAAAATATACCCATGTATTCACAATACAGGAGAGATCAGCCTCTGTGCAAAGCTTCTGCTGCCCTGACCAGGAAGAGCTGAAATGTGTACTGCCAGTAGTGAGTGGGTTTCATCCTTATCTTGGCTCAGAGCTCCTAGGAAAGGGTGGAGGGGAGCATAGCATGATCCTAAGAACAGACCGGTTAGGAGAAGGGGGCAGTACAGAGGTGTCCCAGGGAGGTGCCTCATCAGGGCGGCAGGTCTGCAGGAGGGAGCCTAGAGGGCAGGAAGAGCCCACACAGGGGAAGATGAGGGAGATTTAAAGCACATCTGAGATTTAAAGTGAGACCAACTTTCCAATACAGATACCATTTTCTCCTCAAAATCGCCTTGCAAAGTTAGATTCAAAAAACCCTTTGGTAGATGAGAACACTGCAATTCAGGGGGACAAGGACACATGTCAGAAGTCCCACAGTGGTAAGAGCAGGAGCTGATGTTCTAGCTGCATCTGTCTGCCTCTCCATCGGAGCCGTGACTTTTACCTGCTGCCTCTTCTAGACTTTTAGCAATGCTGCAATCATTCATGGAAAATCCACCATCACCATCAGATGCTTCTAGGACCCTGTGGGAACAGCAGGCTGGAGCCACGGCAGGCCATTCAGGCAGCCCAGATATTTCCCAACAAAACTGTATTACGTTGAATAGCTATTTTAGAGTCAGACAAACAGAGAATTCCCATTAAAAGAAAGTGCTGGGGCTTTTCATAAATCCGTACTACAGGGTAGAGTCATTCACAGATTTATTAAATATCCCTTGAGCGGCTGTGAGGTGCCTGGCTTTCATGTACCAGACCCTGGGCCTGCTCCGGTAACACGAGGACCTCAGGAAGCTCCTGGCAGCAATGGGGAAGGAGGAGGATTCCCACTGTGTGGTAAGGGCTATGAAGAAAGGAATGATGGGCTATAAGGGCACAAGGTAGGGGTGCTCTGCTGACACTGTTCAGAGCAGATATCCAGAAGGTCTTCCTGAGGGCACAGAGCTTGAAGCTAAGCTGGCCTGTTATGGGATGGCTGCAGGGGGTAGGGGGTAGGGGCATTGGGGTGGGGGATGGGGGCTGGCTCCTTCAGGAAACTGTAGAGTTCGGTGGAGCTGGACCAAGAGGAGGCGGTTAGAGGCATAGACTGAGGCTGGGACCCAAGTGCTGTGTAGGCTAAGGAACTTGGATTATTTTTTTTTATTTTTTAGCTATTAAGCATGGAGATGGTAAGGCCAGGTTGGTTAGTAAATTCACTAAAATGAAGGTGGCAAATGAGGCATGTTTCCTCTAGTATTTACCCCCTTTAGGGGCCAGTGAGGCAATGTAGGCACAAATGGAATCGGGGGAGCTGTGTCCGGGGGGCTGGACCAGCTGAAACTGGAAAGACCTGTGTCTCAGTGACAAGGAGGCCCGATTAAATGCAAGGGCCTCAGGGAGAAAAATTACTTTCTCTGAGTGGCACCCATTGCATAATCTCTACTATGTTTCCAGACGTGGGTTTTTGGAAAGGGGCCCATATTTAGGTGTGTTTTTTTTCCATTAAAACTAACCTGAATTGGGTTTTGGAAGCAGTACTTAGGTGGAGTATGGTGGTTTCAGAAAGATCCTAGCCCAGTGGGGGTAGAGAAATGGAAACTCAGCAAAAAGAAATTTCATAAGTGCAAAGGGGAGGGGGAGCAGGAGGGAGTAAGAATTAGACCAGAAAGACTTCCCAACTCAGAGAATCCAAAAGCTCAGATGTGGAAGGACATCAAGAGCTCACTCGGCTTCTGCCAGTCCCATGTTTGAATCTCCCACAGTCCTGCTGACAGGCAGTCTCCCAGGCTGGGGAGCACACCCTCTCAGCTGCCGGCTCCTCCCCCCTTGCACAGCCCTGCCCCTCAGCAGCTCACCCTCACTGGAGCAGGAACTGGCTTCCTTGCCCCCACTGGTCCTGGTTCCCTGAGCTGGCTGGCACAGAGCACCACAGTCCCCCTCTGTACGTGGCGCACTGACTCCCATCTCCACATTCTCTTTTCCATGGTTTCTTTTTTTCCAGGTAAAACATTTCCAAGTCCTTCAGCTGCTCCTCATGGGATGGGGTTTCAAACCCCCTTATCAATCTGATCTTGAAACACACAGGTGTGTCTTTATGTCTCCCACAGTGTGGGGTCCAGACCTAAAACAATGTTCCAGAGAGAGTCATTTCTCCCAACAGCTCGCTAGGGCCAGAGCTGGGATTCTTGAGGGTCTGCAGGACTTCAAGACCATACTCTTTCCACTCATTGCTGAGTTGAGTGACATCAATAGTGATTAAACATCCTAGATTTTTTTGTTGTTGTTGCTAGTTTGTTTGTCTTACATACACTGTGGCAAAATATCATGTCCCCCTGCTCAAGAGCCTTCACTGGCCCCGCAGTACACCCTTAATTATACAAAGTGTCCCCCCAAAAATGTATACACACTTTAACAGTCGAGAGCTTGATTTTGAAAATAAAATGTATTTTAATAACTACTGCCTTTATCATCATTCGAAGTGTGTGTATACATTTTTGGGGACACCCTATACGGAGGGGTCAAAGTGCCAAGTGGAGGTCCTAAATGTAGGTCTGGGCCTAGAGTGCTCTGGGGCTGTACCTCAGAGAATGAAATTTCCTTTCTCTCTCACATTTCCAGGAATCCCACCAGCACATGGGGTCCAGATGCAGTGGACTTCTGGGTCCTCCGTAAACCACTACACATGGCCTTTCCCAGTTTTCTGGCCACTGGCTGGACCCTTACACACTGTAAAGGTTTTGACTAGCCCTTCTTCTATTGTCTCTCTGAAACTTCTCAACCACTTCCAAGTTGGATGGCCAAAAATCTTCCCAGAACAAAGACACTGTCCCCTAAAATCTTTGGCTGAAGAACACCTGAAACCTCCAATCCCTTGGACGTGGTGGTTTGCACAATCCAACTCACTGCCACTCATGAAGCCAGACCTTCATCTAGATCGGCAGCCCCACCAGTCTGTCCCGTATGCTTCCTTCCCTCTGACCCACTGAGGAGTCCCAGCATGCAGTCCCCAGTGAAGCCACATGGGTCATGACTCGTATCCAGAAGAGGAGTCCTTTTCCTCAGGCTGCAGACATATGAGCACAGGTCACGGGAACCTGGCAGTAGAAAGGAGATGTACTTACACTTACAGGTTGACTTTTTGGCACATCATAAACACCTTCCTTCTTTTGGCTGGTGGGAACCTACGGAAAGATAAAAATTCAACACAGTCAAGACACTCTGGTGTTCCATTTTAAAAGAACAAAGCAACCAGAAATCAACCCTAAGGGGACCCCAGGGGATATGTGTGTGTGAGAGAACAGCTTTGGGGTCCCAGGGGACAGCTCCAAGGGGCTGTGATAGCAGCAGGTAGGAGGGCTGTGTGTGGGAATCATTTCACACATGTCTGCAGGCTGCCTCTGCCTTTGGACTCCTCACAGAATCATAGAACCACAGAACAGGAAGCTGCAGAGACCTCAGCAATCTTGTGGTGAAACACATAATCCTCATTTCACCAAAGACAAAACTGAGGCCCAGGGACGTTCTCCGAGTTGCCCAAAGTGATTAAACACAGTTTGCAGCTGAGCTTATACTGTTCAACCCTAAGACTGAGATCCAGGCTATTTAAAATATAGCAAGTATTAAGGTCCTTATACAAAGTTCCACTTCTGTTGGGATCATGAGTAAGCCACTGGGTAATTACCAAAGGCTTTGTTCAAGGAAAGGACCCAGAAATTATATGAAAAGCATGAGACCAGAATCCAGAAAAAAATATATCAATTTTTAAAAACACATATCTGTGTCTTCTCTCTCTCTCTTCTCTTAGTCTCCTTGGGCCACGTGGTGATGGTAACACCCTAAGCCAGTCACTTAGCTCCTCTGAGCTGCATGCTTACAAAATGGTGCTATCTCTGCTTCTCACTCTGATTATTGTGAAGATCAAATGAGAAAATAGACAGTCAATAATCAAAATCTACTAGGCACCATAATATGGAAAAATGTTAGAATGATAGCTTCTTTTATCGTGAGTGCATTACACACACACACACACACACACACACACACACATTTTATAATACTTAACAACAGTGGGTACAGTGAATACTGCTCTCATTTGTCAATCAAGGGCTTTGTACTGAAATGTCCCAAATTGAGAGTAATCATTGGTTGTCATTCCCCAGCACCTAGCAGAGCAGAGTTTAGCCCACTGATGGGATCAGCCAATAGAGGTTGCAGAATTGTCTGATAACATGTCTTTCCTCAGACTGGGGGCTCCCTAAGAGCAGGCATACTGCCTAACACCCAGTAGGCCTTCAGTCATGTCTGCTGGGTAAATGTTCCGTAGAGAAATGTGGGAAATGGTGAAGAAAAAAATATATTTTAGGCTTGGCTAGGTAACCAAACCATCCTTCAAGAAGTAAGAATTTGAGCTTATTCCTTGAGTTCCTTTGTCATTTTCACTCTCATTTAACTTAAAATCCTTACAATAACACTAAGAAATTGGTATTGTATCCTCCACTTGAAGTAGTGGAAAGTGAGACTCAGAGATGTTCAGGAACTTTGCTCAAAGCTCCATAGCCAGGAAGTGATCAGATTCCAACTCAGCTCCTTCTGGCTACCAAACAAGACATTTATTCCGAACAGTGTGAACTATTGTTGACTATGTGCCAGCACTATTCTGAACATTTGTTTACAGGCATTCCAATATAATCCTCAGGACAAGTCAATCAGGGAGGGATGACAACCGGAAAGTGCGGCCCAGAGAGTCCTGCCAGAGGGTGGAGCCTAGGCAGATGGCCTTTTCACTACTATACTGTATAGACAGCTGCATCTGGCTCCTGGCCCCACCATTCTTACAGCTGTTCCAGGGGCTTCTTTTTCTCTGCCATCACATTCTGCACTCCCAGAAGCTCCTGCACATTCTTGCAGACAGTGGGACTATGCGTGAGCATGGCTGTACAAAAGAGGCACTTGAGAAAAATTCTTGCAAACTTTCGTTTGCAGGTAGCCAATGAAGAATGCAATTTTCTTTGCTCCTGATAACTGGGCGCCATCGAAAAGGAATCCTCGAAGAATGCCCACAGAGTCCTTGTTAATGAGGGCCAATAAATTCCGAGCCCGCACTTGATTTCCACGAGCTCACCCTTTCCTGAGCACAACAAACAGCATTCCTGCCCCCGTAATTCACTGCTCACTGTGGGCACTTAGCAAGCCAAACCGCTGCTGACTCTCAATTATGCCTGCAAATGGGGGAAAAGCAGCAGGGTGGATAAACACAAACTGTGCATAATTGAAAAAGCTTTTCTGCTTTCTCTCCCATGGGTGCGATATCAATCTGCCTGTTTGTCCTTTAAGAGTTATCTCAGCCCGGACATCTTCTTGGGAGCCTCGCCTGACTCCCCAGGCTGCGTTTGAACCTTTCTCTGTAGTCTTGTACCCTCTGGTGCATCCTTTCATTAAAAAACAAAAGTTGCCAGGTACCTATTTTGAATCATGCACTGTACTTTGACTGGAATGATGATGGAAAACGGAGACGGATATGGCCCCCGATTGCTCAGTCTCTTGGCTTGCTGGGGAGATGGGAGAAACCAGGCTGCTACAGGGAAGTGGGAAAGAGACTTTCTCTTACATAGGACTAGGGAGACCACACTACAGCTGCCGGGTCCTCTGTCTTCCTGCTGCTCTGCAAGCTTGCTGAGGGCAGGGCTGATATTTCTTATCCTTGTTCCCCCATCTGTAAACACTGGTTAGCAATAAACCTCTAAGCATCCAACATTTACCACATGTGTGCTGAGGGCAGGACACTGGCCGAGGTGCTCAAGGGATGAGGACCAGAAAGAGCGGTGGTCCTGGCTCTCTTCTCCCCTTGGCAGGCCCATGCCATCGGTAGACCAATTTGGGAAAAATGATGTTTGGGAGTGACAGTGGTTCTGGACCAAGAGGAAACAGGAGGTCTGGTTCCTAATCCTGGCTCTGCCATAGGCCGTGTGACCTCAGAGGTCATTTTGCTCTCTGCACTCAGTGCCCTCATCTGGTTGTCATGAGCACCCAAGGGGTTGCCTATAACCTCCCTGAGGGCGGAGACCATGCCGTGGTCACCAGTACATCCCCATGGACCGGGCACTTGCTAGGTGCTCCATAAATAATTACTTTTTAAATGAACCAATTAATAGATGAGATATGACTCTAAAACTATATACTCAGTACTGTCCATACAGAAGACACTTTCAGTTCAGCAGCATATTAGTAGTGTGGAGAGGCAGTGACATAGGACTAGAGACTTCCATTTTAAAGTAATGATACTTGACACATCGTGGGTGATTAAAAATGACTTTTGAAAGAACAAAATTGGGGCATGCCTGCACAGGAAGCTGTGATCTCACTCAGGCGGGAGGCTTATTAAGAAACGAAAGAACTCTGGATTCAGAATCAGAGGCTCTGGCCTTGGACCCAGCACTCAGATTGGAGGACTTGACTTTCTTCCATTTAAAATGATTGCCATCGCAACTGTCATCATAGCTGTTTTCATCTCACCGAGGTACTGGAAGGGTCAAAACTAAGAACCGTGTAAAAATGCTTTGAACCGCAAGGCTCTGTGTCGTTTTAAAGGGATGGCTGTTAACTTTTCTGAGGCATGCAAAGAGAAAGACAATTACGATGATCAATTTGGTTGGGAAACGAGACTGGTGAACCTCAAGAGGTTACTTTACCCAAGAGCCCCTACCTCCTGTTGGCTGGAGTTATCAACAGCACAGCTGGAAGCAGCTGCAGCTCTCGGACAAGATGGGGGTGAGCGAGCCATGTTCCCCTTCAGTTAACACATCATCGTCAGACAGCTGGGCAATAGCAGATGCTGACAACGTTGGGGAGTGAGGGGAACTCACATCTACATGGAGCCTACTAGGTCCAAGTGCTGTCCTTCTCATTTTACATCTTCACATCACTTCTAGAAGCAGATGATATCATATCCCTATTTGTAGCCCAGGAAATTGAGATGCGGAAGTTATGTACTTCCCTCAGGGTCATCAAATAGTTAAAGGATTAGGCCCTAGTCCCCTTTCCTTCCTTCCAGAAAAGGGGAGGTGGAACTGAGTCTGAGTTCAAGCTGGGCTAGGCTGAAGTATGAGGAACACTGCAATCTACTCAGGAGGAAGAGCTATGCAACACTTGGAGGCCCTTAAAAAATAATGAGGTTCCTAATTGCAGCTCCTTAAAAGCCCAGACCTATCTTTAGATCCAAGAGTTTATCTTTTGTTAAGCAAATCCAGGCCCAGCCAGGCAATTGCAAGAAGGGAAAATGACCAGAGGCCTTTCCAATAGGGGGCGGTAAAATATTCATTCTCTTAAATGGTACCTTCCTGTTCATGATGGACAGACAGGGAGATTGGAGGTCAGAACTGTTAGAACAAGTGTGATTTTTAGATAGTGACTTGAAGATGCATAGAATCTGATTGTGAGATTCAGCACCAGCATTTTCTGAGCTAAGGAGAGCCCCAGGATTAATCTATTCATTTACAGAGTCACACAGATGTGGGTATGAATGGGGAGTTTTACTTCTTGTAGTTCCACAACCCTGTGAGCCTCACTTTCCTCATCTGTAATGTGGGAATAATGGCTTAAGCCACATCAGGCTGCTGTGAGGGATATTAAGATACTGCATATAAACCCTCATTCACAGAACAGCCCACAATCAGCACTCAACAAAAGTTACCAAACACACACACACACACACACACACACACACACACACACACACACCATTCCTGTGCCTGAAAAACATGCTCCTCTGAAGAATTACAAGCCTATGATGAGGCAACTAGTTGCAAAGAGCAGAAAAGGGCATTGCCTGAGAGATCCCTCAGTTTTATTGACTCATTTTACAGATGAGTAAACTGAGGCCCAGAGGAGAAAAGGAACTTGACAAGGTACAGTAATGGATGAGTTGGTAGTACTGGTACTTAAGATCCTGAATTCACATATGATGGGCTCAGTGTGTGACCCAGATGAAGCCTCTTCTATACTTTCTCCTCATGAGCTTGTTTTTTTCTCATGCCAACATGTGCATTGGAGAGAAAGTATTCCCCAATTTTGTCATTGGGAAAGCTGAGTCTCTGAGAGGGCAAGTACCCTGCCCAGTACCACTCAGACAAAGGTTGTTGGTGACAGAGCCATAACTAGTATCCAGTTCTCCACTTGCCTAAACCCCCTTCCCCTACACTCCCCACAGGGTACAACAGGAGTCCTGCCAACTACAACTAACTCTGAATTCAGAAACCTCTTATATTGAAGGGTCTATTATTTTAAAAGGTGCTCTCTACATTGTATATATGTACCACAGCTTTTTTATCCACTCATCTATTGATGGGAGTCTGGGTGAAAAGTGTGAAGGGGTTGACAAGTACAGACTGGTAGTTCCAGTATAGTCATGGGGATGTAAATTACAGCATAGCAAATACAGTCACTGATATTGGAATAACTATGCATGCCGACAGTGGGTGCTGGAAATATCAGGAGGAACACTTTGTAAAGTATTTGACTATCGAACCACTATGCTGTACACTTGAAACTAATACAGAATAATATTGAATATAAACTGCAATTAAAAATAAAAATTAAGAAAAGGAAAAAATGTGAAAAACAAAAGGTGCTCTCTCCTCAGAGGAATATTGGATCATGGTTCCTTTGGCCCCATATTCAGGTACTGCCAGGTTGTACTTGAATATCTGCCACTGAAGACAAAGATGCAACTTATCTGTTTGAAGACAGAAACTTTGTCAGTGATGATTTTAAACAAAACCTCCAAGTACAACCTCACACTTGGATCCAATCCAGACAGATCAGGTGGATATACATACAATGTGGGTGTCAGGGACACTGCCCCTCTGCACTGAAAAATCTGTGTATACCTTTTGACTCCCTGAAAACAGTTGTCCTTGGGTATTTATCAGGAATTGGTTCCAGGACACCACCCTCTCCCCCTCCCCCACTGGACACCAAAATTGGTGGATGCTAAGTCCCCTGTATAGAATGGCATAGATCAATGCATACAGTCAGCCCTCTGAATCTGCAGATTGCCAACCAAAAATCAAAAACAGAACAGGTATTTATTGAATGAAATCCACATATAAATAGACTCATGTAGTTTAAACCCATTGGTTCAAGGGTCGACAGTGCTTAGATTATTATTCCACAGGGCTGGTTAAAACTGAGCACTTGATGGAGCCAACATTATACTTTGGTCATTTAGAATTCCATGCATTTGATGCAAACTGAAAATCTGCTTTGTTTTTATTACACAAGTAATGTGCGCCCAAGGCAGAATAACAGACCACACAACTAAGTAAATTAAGAAAATTAAAATCACTTATGAAATACATTAAAATTGTTCCTACGTCTCTAATGTTTATATTCAAATGAGGACTGGAATTCTAATTAGTGAAAACTGGAGGTCGTCATATTTGTTTGATGTGTTGCTAGGCTGCAATTACTCAAACTCTTTGATGGAAATGCATGGGGAAGAGCACGAGCTTAGCCTTTCACATCCTTGCCTGGGTTTGATCTCAGGCCTAAATAACTGTACAACCCTGAGAAAGCTACTCAACTTCTCTTCTCCGAGTCTCAGCTTCCCCTTGTAAAAGTGGAATTCCAATGCCTACTTCATCGGATACTTGTGAGAATGAAATGGATTAAAAGTGGTTTTTCACGTAAGCAGACATTTAATTTAGAAAAATGGAATAGCTGATGTTTGAGTCAACTGAAAATAGTTAAGATCCATTAGAAGTTAAAACACTGTACCCAACTGGCCATTAACCACTCCATGATCAGGTATGAAAACTGCTGGTAAGTTGGAGGGAAGCCGAAAGCAGAGGTATCTTAACCAGCCTGGAATGACTGCGTGGAGTGTGTGCGGAGAGAGCCCTGGTCCTTCAGACCCTGCAGAACATCTACTGGTGATGGCGCAACGCTGAGAGAGAAGCGATTTTATACCTGATAAATGTTTTCTTCCGTTTCGGGATCACGGATTGGCTCGTGTCCAGCCTCAAACACAATGTACTATCATGCAGCGGCCAGAGAGGAAAGGTCAGAGGAAAAAGAAAGAGGGAAAAAAAGGCATTTGGAATTTAAGATACAAATCACAGTGAGCATTAAAGAAACGGGCACAAGAGAACACATCTTAGTGAGACCACTGAATTACTGAGGTACCGGTGGGCCTCGCATATTTCTGCCTTTTCTAAAGAAATCTGCAAATGGCTGGCAGTCAGTCCTTCGTGATGATTGCACGGGGCCCAGCAGCTCTTCTGGAGTCACAGCCTCCTCCCTCAGTGGCATTTGTCTCAGTACTGCCTGCCTGCATGGCATGCTGAGTGGGAATGACGTCTCCTGGGAATGTCTGGGTCCCAACTTTGTAAACTTTGGGTCACAGCAGTCGCCCCCCCCTTTGCTCAAGGCTCAGGTTCCTAAGTTAACTCTGAAGTGCTCATAAGCCCCAAATTCCCTCGTCCCATACATACCACCCGGATTTCATTCTCAGTTTTAAGCATTAGATATCAGATTGCCCATGTGCGTGTTTGGGACTCTAAAGGACAGGCCCATTTCTAAAGGCCAACATTCTTCATTCTCTGGAGCTGGTTAGCCAAGGACTGAGCTCGCATTATAAACAAATCCTCGCCTCAGCATTCACTGTAAAGCAAGGGCCATCATTAAGTGCATTTGACTTCTGTTAGTCTTATGTGCTAGATACTTCTTCCACTACAAGTTATCCATATTATGCTGCCTTTAAAAATCCATATTATCTTAATTTCAGCATAGCAGCTTTCTGTGTGAAAATATGCATTCACACCTATGTATGTGTGACACACACGTATCTAGAACCCACGTGCGTCCCAGTTAGAATACAAGTTTCAGGTTTTCTTTTATGTCCAGCAAGTACATCTTTGGGCTTCTTTCTCTCCTTGGGAATAAGCATTTGGGGTGAGGGGCGAAGGCCACCTCTTTCCTTTTCCCTGGACCTGTTTGAGCAGAGCACATACCTGAGCCCAAGAGAAGTCATGTCTCTACACACACCTGGGCTGCAACCCTGAAGAGCATGCAGAGAAAGCTGTGGGCTGCGATGTCTCTAGGATCTCCCATTCCCTCCTCACAACAGCCCCTGGGCACCAGCCAGCTCATCAGAGGGGCGGCCTGACTGATCAAGCTGGGAGAGACTTCCCACAGCCTTTCTGAAGCTTACAAACCCAGCCTTTGGGTTTGCATTCAAATGTCGTCAGAACGTTGGTCCCCATCTCCAGTTCTTGACTCAGAGAAACCACCTCATTATTCAGTCTCTCTCATGAACTCAGAATATTCAAGAGACTCATGAAGACATTCAGCTCCAGGATCAGACATTTACAGCTTGTGGAGGGGGCTGAGGCAAGGCAAGATGGGAAAGCACATCACCACACCCCGTGTCACTGATGCTGGTCACACTTCGGCTCCTTTTCATGGAAACTGGCTCCTGTGGGGGCTGGCAGCCCTCACCCTCAGAAACCACCTTGTCCCTGTCTAGGCTCCACAGGCAGCCGATGCTTCAGGTCTCGGATGCAGTGTCTATACCACAGGCCTAGCCATTCCGGACCCTAAAAACCCGTTTGGTTTCAGAAATTACCTGGTACACAGGATCTTCAACATCCTCTTCCAGAATTGTCTACGGCAGAGCGAGGGCAGGGAAGGTGAGAGCAGAGGACATAAGGAGAGATGTGAGACTGGATTCAGAAGTTACAGGACAGTAAAGAAGCCAGTTCTGCGTAGGATAGGCTGGGGGGCCATCAGGTAGAAAACACACAGAAAAAAAAACAACAAAACCCTTGCAGCCACCCCCACCCACTGTAACAACAGCAAGAGCAATTGTGTTTCTTTCCTTGTCCTCCCCTGATCTTCCTCTGGATTCAAGATTTCCCTTTCTCTTACATGTCTAGAATGTCAGAGAATAAGGGATCATTTCTCACAGCTCGCTTCTGAGCTAGTAATTTACACGACAGCCTTTCATCTGTATTGCTATTTGGAAGCAGGAAGAGAAGCCCTGACTGTCAGTTTTCACATCTATTTATTTTAAGCCCCAATCTTCCCCGGTACCGGGATAAACTCACAGCTATACCTGATACACAGCTTGTTCACACTGCTTATCCTTTTGTGCCTTTTTCTCCAACTCTTCTCTTTGCTTCAATTCGTAAATAAGTTGAAAGAGATCTCTCAAGTCCAGAATAACAGGTTCAGCCTGGAGTGGAAGGTGGTAAAACGCATTATTCATAAGGGGATGCGCCTGAGCTGCAAAGACCCACTTCTGTGTGCGCTGGCTACAACCCACAGCTCTTCCCTTTCCCATTAAACTGAAAGCATTCCATCTTTAATTAACTCTACCTTGTTTGTATTGGTTTAGTAAATTGCATCTAGGCTAAAGTTCATTTCTCCAACTAATTATATTTGTAAATTCATAATAATCACAGGCGTAAAAGGCAATGCTTTTATTTATTAGTAATTTCAGATACAATAAAATTAGGGTAGGCCTTATGCAAAGTGGCTATTTGTTTTCTCTTATTTTCTTTTTAAATGAGGCTATGAACACAAGGAAACTTATTTGTATACTGTGCCTCCAAAATAGTGAGTCCTTACGAAATACCCATTAGTAAAAACAACAACAAAACCGGATGGGCATGAGTGTGTTTTCCCGCTTCCAGGCTGTGTATCTTTTCTCGATGGGAGCCTGAGTACCGGCATCGCTGGGGCAAACATCACAGTGGGCTTCCAGAGAGCAGCAATGCGGAGAGCAGCAGTGCGACTGTCCCCTCAAGTCACAAGGGAAGGTGCCCTCTCTGGATGGGGTACTCACCGCCTGGGCTGTTTTTATGGCCACAAATCTGTGGTTCCCTTCCTTCCCACACACGTAGCCAAAGGCCCGGTGGTCTGTGATGTCCTTTGCAATGTAGGAAATTTCGTGAACAGCATGGTGATGCTGAAGGGCCTGCGAGAGACAAAAGGAAGAGCATCTTTGAGGGGACTTTCCCTTCGAGCTGTTAATCAATGAGAGATGCATTTCGGCTACGTGTGAACAGGCCCGCAGGGCTTGGGAAAAGCTGTTTGGTCCAGATGGAAGGAAAGCGAGCTGTGCCTGCCCGTGAGAGAGGGAGGCTCCCCTCCAAGGTCTTAGTGCTGTGACCAGAGAGGTAAACAGGACTGCTCATACGCCGGCTGAGCGCCTGTGTGCCGGCTTCCTTCAGCCTGCCGAGCCAGTCAGCTCCACTCAGTGGCGGAGGTTTCTGCTACATCCTTCTTCCTGACACAGCCCAGCTCGAGTTCTGGCTCGATATGTAACACACTCACATACCAGGCGGAAGACCTACCCTGCACGGCCACAGGGGCACCATTCACAATCATAGAACCGTGCCTTTGCATGGCTACGATGTTCTCACAGATGGTGACTGATTGTCTTGAGGAACAAACCCCTTTCTCTAACTTGTCCAAAATCACCATCTAGGCTAGACGTGGGGTCCTCCATATCTCAGGCTGTTCACGAATTGGTCCCCCTCTCTCTGCCTGTTCTTTTATCCACTGGTTCGAATCTTATTCCTCTTTCAAAGGCCATTTGAAATAGCACCACCTCTTGACACCTCCCCTGAGCGAGGCTCGCCCTCCCTCTCCCTGCAGGAGTAACTCCTCCCTTCTGTGTTTCCATGGAATGTCAGTCCCAGTGATGGTGAAACTCCTGATGGACTCTTCACATACAGCTCCCCAGGGGCCTGCTTCCCAAGACCTTCTTCTCTGACATATTTGCCTGGTCCCTTGCCTGTCTTCCCCACCAGGTCTGTCTTCCTCATCTCTGTCACCCCAGAACCTTGCACTGTGCCTGTCCCAAGTTGTTGAATAAGGTAAACTGGGATAGCTGGTCAGTAATTTGAAAATCTTTTGAGACTGACCTCCCTGCCTTGATTGTCTAAGCTTCAACAAATAATGTTCACCATCCTGTTGGTGATAGTGACTTTACAACCATTTGCCTATTAAGTGTACCTAAAAAAATACTCATTAAGCAGTACTCTGTGTACAGGGTTATGTATGCACCTGCTTAAGATCCTTATAACTTGAAGGGCCTTTTCATCATGCTGGCTATTAAGAAGCTTGAATTCTAGCCACTGTGTGGACATAAGGCACTCACTATATGGGCCTCAGTGCATTCCTCTATCAAATGAGATGTTTGTATCAGATCAGTGACTCCTAATCCAAAGTCCTGGACCTACTGGGTCATTAAAGGTAATAAAAAGAACTCCCAAGCAATTTTAAACATCTAAAAAACCTAAACAGAAATGAATAATTATTCCAGGTAAGACTGCACATTTCATTGTGCATGCAAATGAAAATGCCAAGTTTATTTGGGATTGTACCAGGTAGCTGTGCTCCTTAGCTAATCTTAGAGCAGATTCTCATTGGAAATTCATTATGGGTTCAAATAATTCAAATAGGAAAGTGAATGACTATCAATGCATTCTATTTTTTGGGGGGGAACACAAATCTTCCTCCTTACTGAGCCCATGGAGGAAGACATGGCACACAATGGGAACTATGTCATGAAAACATCGGGAACCACTGGACTAGATGTTCTCTAAGGTCTTGTTCTATTTCCCTGGATCCGTGAGCCATCAGAACCTCACAGCACACAACCAGCCTCTGAGGACAGTGGACATCTGCTTCTCATGCCAGTCATCACCTTAGTTCTGGACCACTGGCCCAGGTCTTCCAAAACATCTCTTCCCAGGCTGGTGCCACCTTTCCAGGCTTCTGACTGTGAATCGTCCCTGCAGAATCTGCTGCCACACCTTACCCTTCCCGATTCTGACCATGCACTAACCTCTGTACTCCCCTTGCGAGGCTCCCTTCAGCATCATACCCTGTCCAGGTTGCCCACTGCCCACTGGACTTCATGCCTGGAGGGTGTTGTCAGTGCCCAGTATCCCTAGCCACTATAGTGGACCTCACTGTATAATTCCAGTGGATTTCAACAAAAACAAGGTTGGTGAAGAAAGAAGTGTTTGTTAGGAGAATAATCAGAATCCATTCATCCTTGTTTTATTAAGAGCACATATTTAGCCAGCAGAAGAAAACTGCTCAAAAAGCGGTAGCTTTTTCATGGTGTTAATGATGTAAAATTGATGAGACTTATATTCACACTATGTGGGGGTATTGATTTATAGGCTTTTGTGAGCGCCAATGGTAGGCAGCAGGGGAAGTGGGAGACAAAGACTTTCTCCTCTCCCTTTCCTGAAAGTAGTCCTCTCTCTGCATAATGTGGAGGATGTTATCCACGTCTCCTATTAAATCAAAGTTTGACGACAGTAGCTTATTGATTGCCAAGTGGAATATTGCTCTAAAATTAAACCGCGATTAGAAGTCTTCCTGGTGGAATTAGATTTGGCGATGATTGTGCAATAGTAACATATCACCTAAGATGCAAGGCAGCAGACAGAGATGATGTAATTTACCTGAGAATCCTCATTAAGTGTTTTAAAATCAAAACATTTTTAATGCCTGATGATACCTCATATTGCCTTGCAAAGTGTAGCTGCGTGTGTGCATAAAGTGCTTGAAGATATTTGTAACATTGTCTTTTTCCACAGTTAATTTTATGACATGTTAAAAAGGAATGCTCAGAAAGTAGCTCATTCATTTGGAAACTAAGAGTCCGTGAGGGGATGTGTCTCCACTTTCCACAACCTTAACCGTGCAGATATAATATAGACACTTGGAAATACAAATACATTAGAATCCTGCTAATCCCACAGTCGTATTATCGCATTCATCTTGGCAACTCAGAGGATCTTGCAAATACTTGTTCATTGAGCCTCAAAATTGCTTCGGGTCTTCCAGTAGATTTTAGCAGCACAATCAAAGACAGTCGGAGCCTTAAACATCATCTACTTCAACTCTGAGTTTATTCATAAAAGAACTGAGAGAATTCTGGCAGGCCCAGTACTAAAACCAGGTCCTATTCTCCCTACTCAGGATGACAAAGAATGAAGAAAAGGAAACAAGATTACATAGAATCAAGGCCTTCTTTCTTAGACTCCCGGCTCCCTAGTCAGGTCAAGGGCACACGCCTCGGCTGCAGGCTTGGTCCCCGGCCCTGGTCGAGGTGCATGTGAGAGGCAACCAGTTGATGTGTCTCTCTCACAAAACCATGACCCCTGACAAACTGGGATGAAAAAGGGATTGATTGCTGGATAGGGAAGCACAGCTGAGGCTGTTCTGGATTTCAGCAGGTATCTGAGGTCAGAGAAGGTCATAAATCAGGTCTGAGTAAAGGCCAGCTATAAGGATCTTAAAGAAAAAGGACAAGCCAGCATGATCTGGAAGTGGCTCTTGGAAGCCCGGCCCTCCGTGAGCAGATGAGGTGAGGGAGAGAAGCATTGCTTCATCCCAGGTTTCCGTGGGGAGTTCCTGGGACCTCATGGGTTGTTCTGGAAGTATCTGAAATTCCCGGGCTTGAGGGGAATGGGGAGGATTCTGGTCATCCTTCTTCCACATCTCTTTTGAAAACACAATTTTTGTTTTGGAAAAACTTAGTCTAGATATTAAAGCACTGCCAAAAATCAAAGCCAGTTTCAGGTTTTAAAAATAGAGGCTTTACCCTGGCTGGTGTGGCTAAGTTGGTTGGGTATTGCCCCATGAACCAAAAGGCTGCTGGTTCGATTCCCAGTCAGGGCACAGGCCTGGGTTGCAGGCTCTATCCTTGCTAGGGGGAGTGCAGGAGGCAGCCAATTGATGTTTCGCTCTCATGTCAATGTTTCTCTCTCCCTCTCACTCTCCCTTCCTCTCTCTCTCTCTCTCTCTCAAAAATCAATAAAAATTCTTAACAAAAAAGAGTCTTCAAGAACACCCCATCTCTCTGCCACAGCTTTACTTACTCTTCCTGCTCAGAACCCTCTGCATTACTTTGTGGATGAAAATTGTTACTGAACAATTCCAAGGGCAATTCAGAGATCAAACTCCTCAATCCAGTCTGATCTTCCTTTTGTGAGTGAACTTCAGGGTAACCTTGGCTGCAGATAATCTAAAGAACTCATCGCTCCCACTTCAGGGTCTGTACTTTCCCTGTGCCATTGGTCACGCTGTGCCATTGGTCACGCTGATCTCGCTCTTCAGCCCTGACTCACACTTCATCGACTCCACATAACTACATCACATCTATGCTTCGAGGCCTGGCTCCCACATCCTGCTCATCCATGACTGTCCCATTCCCCTTAGTCGTAATACCTGTCTCTAGATCTCATTGCATTGCATTTGTTCTTCTATCTGGGATGCTTCATACTTCTTAATTTTGTTTCACATTTATCCATTCATCCAGTATTTCACACCATATGTATTTCTTGAGAAGCTGTTATGTTCCAGGCCTCATACTAAGTGCTACATCTATCCAGATGATTAAAATGGAGTCCCTCCCTCAAGGACCTAATAATCGCATAACACAGAGAAGCAAAGACACTACAGCAAGACAAGCTTTATAGTAAATGTGTGAGTAGGATGTTACTTGGGGTCAGAGTAGGAATGAGGAATGGCGTCAGAGAAGTTTTGACAAAGGAGCTGACCTTGAACCCAACATCAAAGGATAAAAGGGGAGCCCCCAGAAAATTAGGGGAAAGAGCATCCTAGGCAGAAAGAACTAAGCATGCAAAACCTCTAGGTCCCAAGAACATACTTTCTCTCCACTATGGGGATGTGAGCTCCTAAAAAGAAAGATTGATTTCTGGTCCTCCTCAATCTTATCCTAGCTCCTAATACTGTTCCTTTTGAACTATAAATGCTCGATAATGTTTGATAAATTTTTTAAAAAAAGAAGAAAGGAAGAACCAAGCATCTGAAGACATACATTGCACAAGGTAGTTGCTCAATAAATGTTCAATGAATGATTGAATCAGATTAATTCAAGACATTTCACACAGGATTCATTTTGTGAACAGAGGGTTTCGTATCTGA